ATTACTCTATCACTGCTGCAGAGATCATCATCCTTGTGTCGGCGATGCTAAGGAGGAGTCCTGTAGACATATCCTGCAAGGGGAAAAGAGAAGGCAGGATCAGAGTGAGCAAACGGTCCAGTTTCAGCTTTGAATAGTGGCATGCAATGAACCCACCCGTGTGCTGCCACCTGCGACGTGCTCCTCACGCCCTGCTCTACGCAATGGAGGCAAATGCTGCTTGGGACCATGAGCGCTGTGGCAGGTAAAGGCTAAATCAGCCTCTTGCAACAGCTGCAATCGGGCCGGGTCTCGGAGCAAAGGGCATTGCCCATGTGCAGTTTGGGCATGCTCACAGAGCACAGTCAGCACACTCGCAGAGCACACTCCCCATGCTCCCCACGCTCGCAGAACACGCTCGGCATGCTTGCAGGGCAAACTCACCACGTTCACACTCAGGAAGCTCTGGAAAGCTGGTGAGCCTGCCCCGATGTGGACAGTGAGGAAGAGCTTCAGGGCTCCCTTGCCTTCCTCCAGCACCACCCGAGGTGAGCTCCTGAACACAGCTTGCAGCATCACCGGTAGGTCCTCCTGGAAGAGGGAGCCCATCTGCCGAGGGAGGGGGGTTATTTCTGGGCATGGCAGCCGTCCCCTGCGTGCCCCTGGGTTGGTGGGCAGGCGGCCGGGGGGCACTGCCCGAGCGGGGGCTGTGCCTCTCGGAGCGACAGCAACGGCAACGAACCTGAGTAATCTTCTGTGCCATGGTGGCGGTGGTCAGTGGGCTCTGAAAGACAAAGCATGGCTTGTGATCTGACTGACGGATGCTTGGGGCTGCTGCTCTGGGGCTCGTGTCCAGCACAGCCGCGCGGACCCTGCGGTGAGCACTGTGCTGCACGCAGATACGTGCAGGAGCCTTCCTGCACGCCAGCACGTGCCGGGAGCAGCTTTCTGGTTACTCTTCATGGCAAATTCTCCATGCATTACTAGACCAGCAATATTTTTGGGAGCCTGGGGGTGGGGGGCTGCAACTCCCATGGGCACTCAGAGACACACTCTCATTTCTTTGCAGGGTGCACAGCTCCTCCAAGCCTTTCGTGGGGCAGGGCTGTCCCTCCAAATGCATATCTTCTACTCCTTCCTTGCTCGCTTGCTCTACTCACCGGGATGGTCATGTTGAAGGCTCCAGCTATTTCCAGGGCGAAGAAGAGGCTGGTGTAGAAGTGCTCAGAGAAAGCCAGGATGAGGTGGGAAGGGCTGGAGCTCGCTGGCTCGGGCATGCTGAACGGCACGGGGCTGACTGGCAGGGGGGTTGCCATCCCTGCCACCTGGAAAGTTGTCTGCAGGGACACGGGCAAGGAGAGAAGGAGTTTGAGGTGTCTCAGGGCACGTAGCACTGGGAGGAAGCAGCTCTCCTAAAGCCTGGAGCTGGGCTGTGAGTGCTGGAAAGCGAGGACTTACTTGCAAGGATATGGTGATTCCCTGCTCGGAGAACATGGGTGCAGCCAGGGGCAGGTACTGGACCTGGCAGCTCGGCGTGACGGGGAACTGAGCTGCAAACCGAGCAGAGGGATGCTCAGAAAGAGGAGGGGAGCAGTGACGGTGGGTTGGGTCTGGGAAGCATCTGGGTTTCCCGAGTAAAGAGACAGGGAAAGAGAGCTGGGTGGAGGGAGCGGGTCCCTGGGGAGATGACGGCGGTGGAGCTGCTGCTGCTGGGTTTCTGCTGCGGGGTAGGGAACCCGTCCCACCTCGTGGCCTGCTCCAAAATGAGCCTGGAAGCCCTTAGTCCATAACAAGACTGAAAGCCAAACGCTCACCTGTCAGAGACATCAGCTGTTCATGTGGCAAAAGCAGCAATTTGGAGACTTCCAGGCAAATCTATGGAATAAAGAACAAAAAGAGAGGTGGTAGATGAACATGGGGGTCTGCTGGCATCAGGCATCCCCCGAACACCTCTGATGTGGGCATTCCCATGGGTCGGCCGTGCGGCAGCCAGGAGACGGGATGGCAGCGTTCAGTGACTCCTGATGGCTGCTGCTCTTCTCCCCGCGTGTGGGGCTGCGGGGGAGGCCTGGCAAAGCACCAGGTTGACTTAAAGTGCTCTAATTCTTACAGAACTGTACAACTTTGTCTTCTCTTGTCTCACATCTTTACAAACTTTATCTTACCTTATCGATGTTAATCTCCTCGTCCACGTCTGAACTAGAGGACTGGCTGGATGAAAACAACAGAACAGAAGAAGTTAGACAAGAACCAGCTCAACCAAGGGTAGGTGAGCATCTTTTATCTGACCCAAAAGGCATCCAGAGACAGTATTACAATTATTTTCTATCTAATAAGCTATGATTACAATTCAGAATTCAGCTGAAGAATTGCCATTGGACTTGCATTAAAAATGTTCCTGCTACACTACTGTAAAAGATCCGCTCCCTTATAAGAGAATGGAACTCTCTTAAAATGGGAAAAACCAACCCTGCAAGCAGAAGAAAGTTCCTCCCATGAAGATAAAGGTTTTGTGTTAACCTTTGTAAGTTTTTAGGGCAGTGACCAGATCTTAGTCATATCACCTTCCTGCCTAGAAATGCTTGTGCCTCAGTTTATTCTTTTCCACTGTTACCCAGATCCCATAACAAGGAAAACCGCAGGGTCAACCTTTCCATCTCCTCGGTGCTCTGCATCTCCTCCACGGTGGGTTTGCAGGCAGAGGTCACCAGTTCCAGGTTCCCTTCGGGGTTCATTTCCACGTGGAGGTCCACCAGGATGGACAGTCTCATCACCTTGGTGGTCGAGCTATGCCAGAGGAGGAGAGGCGGAGGCTGGAGCGCAGGGGCTGCTCCTGGTCCTGCTCACCCCGGCCCCCCCTGCTCCCGCAGGCAGACAGCAGGTGCTGGATGCGGCCCCGTCGCTCCGTCCAGGAGCTTGGGCTTCTTCCAGCCCTGCGGCACTGGCACTCACAGGGCGGGTGTGATGCCGAGGTCCACATCGATGCTCAGCCGCAGCCCGGTGTCGGGGATGAGCAACAGAGAGAACTCGGCAACCTTGACGGAGTTAATTTGGTTCCTGCTGGAGCAGAAATGAAGGTGTCAGGAGACCAGCGCAGACTGATGTGCAATCCCTGGCTGCTCTCACAGTGGGCAAACCCCAAAAGTCCATGAGATCTGCACAGTGCACGGATAATCAGTGCCCTGAGGGTGGCACCAGGATCGCTGCCCGTAGACCCCAAAGGAGGAGCCAGGAGCTCTTTTCTAAACCGCTCTGGCAAACAGCCGTGTTCATCTCCAGGGGGATTTTTGCCCTCACTGGCAAAATGCCTTTTGTGACGATATTCAAAGTGCTCCAGCTAAACACCAGCGTGAACCAGTGGTACAGTGGCAAAGCCTGGGCAAGGCACAGCTGCGGACTCACCTGATGGGCTCTGGGGAGCCGAGAAACAGGTCTAGGACTCTTGGGGCCATTAGGTCCTGCCTGAGGACTGCCTCTGCGTGTGGCTTTGAAACTTCAGCAACTGAAATAGGGCAGATATTTTATGAGACGCTCTGGAGCTTGTGGTCTGTGGCACAGAGATGGACAGACTGAAATCCCTCCAGGTGACACACTTCCACCCTTTCCTAAACCCCCCTGTTACTAGCTATAGAAAGGGGATGATGAAAGTGAGCTGATTAATGGCGTAAGTTTCTGGTGAGTGTTTGGTATTTCATCACCGGACTGAAAGATGCTGCTGCCTCCCCTCCCTGCTGACGGCATGGGAGTTACGGGGTCCAGACTTACGGTAGCTCAGTCCTGATGGGGTGAGGATGCCCCCGCAGTCGGGTGACCTCGTGGTGTGAGCGGGGACCAGGAGGCTCAGGAGGATGCTCAGGGTGCAGAGCTTCACCATGCCGGTGCCTGGAAGAGGAGGGCACCCGCAGCAGCCTGGTCAGAGTGGCATGGCCCTGGCCCTGGCCCAGCCACCAAGGCACGGAGCCATGCTCGGGAGCCACGGATCCGCTCCCGGGTTGGGTTTGTGGTCCCGAGCTTGCCAGCTTTTGTGCAACAACAACACATAGCTCTCATGAGGTGCCTGGGGATTTAAAAGCGTTAACAGAAGGCTCAGCCTTGAAAACTCCCTGCAAGTCTGCAAGCTACAGTGGTGCTTGCAGCAATATCATGCCTGCTGAAGAGCATATAATGGCCTACAACTGGTATAAAACTAGCAAATAAGCAGGAGCTAAAATTAATTGAGGAACGAATGGAAGTTATTGAGGAGGCTAAAATCAAATAAAAAGGTGAAAATGTTATCTACCTCTCTGAAAAACATTTGGGAATTGTTTATAATGTTTGTAATGCTCTTAGAATACTAAGAAAACAAGTAATTCAGAAAGTTTAACCTGCAGAAAACATACATATTTCTATCAGTCTTTGCAGAAAGTGGACTTCTGATGAGAACTGACCCTTACAGAGACACACCAAAGTAAGTACAAGCAATGCCTATATCAAGCTATTCAGTTTGCAAATGCATCTTTACCTTTCCTGGCCAGTCTTCCCATTCTTCTAACTGAGTCCGTGTCTTGCTGTGGCCACACCAAGGAATGATGCCAGCTTTATATATCCTCACAACCAAGGCCGATGGGGCAGAAATTGGCAGAGAGGGCTAGAAACCAGGACGTTGGGTGGACACTTTGTTTTATATACCATTTTTATTGTTTCCCCATATACTTGATTACATTGGCCGTTGACCTAGCGAGGTGAAATATTGAACAGCAGGTGCTGGGGCAGCTTGCCTTCATTGTGGTGTTACTGAGGAGCACAAAGAAAGGTCTCTGGGTGGAGGGTGCCAAGAAATCAAACATTGTTAGAAAGCGAACATCGGTTTCTTTGCTCTGCAGCCATGCTTTCTTCCGAACACCACAGGGATAGCCGCCACCACGTCCACACCAGCAAGAAGCTGCTGTGGTTTGTATCGCTCTCCCAGCTGGGCAGCTCAGACCAGAAGGAATGAGACCTGCACGTGTCGCGCTGAAGGAGGTCTTGACAATTCATCAAGGATGCCCTCCATTTCCATCAGGCCTGGGTAAGTCTGTTGAAGGCAACAGGAATGTTTCTGTTGGTTTCAGTGAGTTTTAGACCAGACAGAATATCAATTTTTTTTAAGGTATCTCCTCTAATCTCTGGAATGGCCCACGTGCAATAATTTCTTCCTCTCTTTAACCCATCCCAATCAAAAGCCACTGGCAATATTTATTACAACTGGTAGAAAAAATGGTGGGTGACGTCCACCCTCTTTGATAATGTCTCTACAAGCAGTGAAAACATTCATGGAAGGGAGTCAGAGTCCCTCTCCTTCCTGTGCTTGGGGTCCATCGTGTTCTCCTGGCTTCCTTTTGGCCTGGAGGACAGAGTGTGGACTACCTGCAAATGCCATGTAAGCGCATCCTCCGTGGTCTCACCCAGGTCTCCTTTGTGCTCCGTGTTCTGACTTCCCCCCCCACCCCGATATTTGTGATCTCAGCTTTGGGGCATGACCAGTCTTCCAGAGAGGGTTGAATTGCCCATTTTGGTCTGAATCCCTTGGCAATGGGATAAGGTGTTCAGGGCTTGTTGAAACACCTGCTGCCCGGGGAGGCAACCATTGTCCTTTGTGCATTGGCAAAGTGAGTTATTGGGCGCTGGTTCCAGGTGCATCTTGACACGTTCAAAGCCTTTGGCTCTCGCCAGTGCTGTGTTGCTTTCCTTCTCAGCATGACAGAGAAATGCCACGAAAAGCAGAGTTTCAGCCACATTGTACATTTCCATTGAAGTCATCCAAAGAGCAGTGTCAAGAGAAAATATGAAGATATATGTCTAGCAGCCCACCGAGGGAGAGCAGGATTTACACGTTTACGCTGATGTATGCAGCCCATTTAGAGGCAAGAAATGCGTTCAGAAAAGTAAATCCATTGAGAAGGTTGTAACCTGCAGACGAGTCCCCCGGGGCTGCGGGAGATGTTTCGTGGCATCTGACATCGGTAGGGACACAGACACAACATAGAAAAGTCTCTGAGAAATAAGTCTTTGCTGTGTTTTAGAGCAATGGGTGGAAATTTGCCCCTGCTAGGCCTTGTTCCAACGTAGGTAATATCGGCAGCTCTTCCTGAAGCGGTACTGGAGATTTATCTGTGGAGCATTATTATAATTTACAGCAGTGCAAGGGTCTGGGGATAAGCTGCCGGGACGAGATAGCACCATGTGCTTAGATATGGATTTTCTCCTCCTGCAGAGCTGTTCTGGACCTGATGATCTCTGTTGAGGCTTAATTAGATGTCAATTTATAGCATAATGACTGATCAAGTTACTAGCACAAAAGTGTCTTTCTGGCATAGTGCATTCCTTATTGGGAGTTATCTATAAATCTTATGCTCCTGTCAGATAAGATGTAAATCTCCCTGTCTGGGCTTAGCAGAGAGCCACCGAGTACCTCACCGGGAGGGAGGTGATGGCAGATTAAACCTCATGACACGTTTTATACAGAAATGAAGGGAAGAAATAAATTTCTTGGTGCTGCAGGATCCCACCGGGGTGAACTCCCAGAGCCGGGTCCTGCTGGGTGGAGTACCCAGGAGGAGACGGGTGAGGACACCGTGGTGGCCGCTAGACCCAGCTCAGGCAGGGCTGGTGCATGGGCAGCCACAGCGACGGCAGCAGCATGACCAGCCCAGAGGAGAGCTTCGTGCAGCCTGTCTGCAGTCTGGTGGGATGCATGGCTCTCCTGTGGCAGGACAGGGACGGGGCTGAGAAGCCTGTTCTCTGGGCAGGTGACAATTCTTCTCAGCCTCCCTCCAACCCTGCTGAAACCAGTAAGAACATTACTGAGATGATCACAATTCCCAGTGGGTTCTCCACCAGCTGATCCCATGTCCTCCCCTGGCATTTGCACAAGCTCCATGAACCTTTGGGGAGCGAGAGACACTCATCTCAAGAGTTGTAGTTACGCGGGTATCCCCAAAAGCAGAATTTACCATTACACGTCTTAGGTTTCTCCTCGCCCCCACTTCTGTCTGTACCATGTAATTAAATGGATCAGGTTTTTCTCTTTCGGACTTGACGTGCAAGTCTCCATTGGCTCTTCCTGGGCATTGAGCAAGAGCACTGGCTTCAGCCTGCTGGGAGCACGTGCCTGGTGCCTGAGGCTCGAGGGCTTATCTGGACTTTCAAATTTATTAGTGAAATTATTTGTATTGGCAGATGTCAGAAACACTCAGGAATTAGGTTACATCACAGCAATTACCCAGCCCTTTCATTCTTTCGTTTTTTCCCCTTTCTTGGTCAGGATTTATATATAGGCTGTTTCTTGCTTCTCTCCAGGAGATCAGTGCAAAGCTTGGGCAACCTCTGGCGACTCTCCACCGGAGCAGAACTGGGCAAAGCAACGGCAGGGCCCTTCCCTGCAGGAGTCCCTGTCGCAGCAAGGTGCAGCAGCTCACATCATTTCCCTCTGGTGCAAGCAAGAAGTGGGAGGCCAAGCCGGAGCAGACTGGTGGAGCCGTGTCATAGCCTGTTGGAGAGGC